ACGGATATAAGAATTACTGTCAGAATTATTTTTTAATATTTTTTTTTAATCCGCTGTTTTAATTATTGTTTCAGGTGGTGCGTGCTGCGAGTCCCGTCTTGCTACGCGTGATCGTGTTGGGCGCATTTTTCATCTACTGCACGGTAATTCGTTTCTTCTGATTTAATTAATTGAGGATAATTATGTAATTTGAGAGCCACTCGAGTTCCAATTAGGAGAACAATTGATAAGTTGGTTATTCTCTTGGTCCGGCGATCGAACCGGCGCTTTTGGAACCGTGAAACCGGACGACCTATCGACACGAGAGCGAGAGATAAAGGCCACCCTCGCTGCGGCTTAAACGGCAGACCTAATTGCGACTGCCGCGGCACGCGACTTCTTCCATGAAAATTATTATTGCCGTTTATCCGCACGCAAACCGAATTTCCATCGCAACGAGGAAAGAACGTAATTAATGTTTATGCCGGCATAAACCTTGCGACTCGTTAATGTCCCCTCCTCCGAAACGCGAAATCGTATCGTCAATCTGTCAGCACAATCGCCGCAATTTTTATAATTATACTAGTTACCGCGACGATTATCGCTCTGTTCTTGTTATTAAGTCATTATCGCATAAAGAATTTCGGTCGGAGAAGATAATTTAAGCGATTATTATTTTAATCGTCAAATGCAGTTCCATAATCATTATTATAATTGTGAGGCAATTGTATTTTTTTTTTTTTTTTTCATGAAGTTAAGAGGAATCGATTTCTTTTGTTTCAGACGATCGTGATGTATCCTCGGCCGAACGTGATAACGTGCACGGTTCGAGTTTGGCTGCGAGAGATTGGATTCTCTCTCACCTACGGCGCCCTCATGCTTAAAACTTGGCGGTGAGTCAACGTTAATTAAAAGTTCTTGAAAAGATTGATTTTTGGAACAAGTAAATTTGCTTTATGTTAATCCAGTTGAATTGTAGATAGAAAATTTGGGAAGGGACGACAGAAGTCGTTCAATTGAATCCACCACGTCGAACGAAATAAATCGATGACTGTTAGAATGAGGGCTTATCGTGTTGGTTGGGAACGGGATGGGATTCTCCTCGAAACGGAAAATGAGGGGGGGGGGGCGAGTCGAGATCGTGAGAGGTTTCTCCTTTTTCTGAACTCGAGATAGAGAATGGGGTGGGCAATCTCTGTCCCGGAATCTCGGTAGCGGCGGAAATCCTGCGACCGCTCGATGGGGATCTCGCGGGAGGGATTCCCCGAGAAAGGACCGTCGGTAGAGACGATACGTTACACGCTGGTTCACCGCCGATGAAAACTACTGACCTCATTTTTTTCGTCCCTCTCTCTGCGGTCCTCGTCCCCCGTCCCCCCCTCCCGGGGGTTGATCAGTGGAAATTTATCGAACTGCAGATGTTTAGGACCTTTGCTCCTCCGAGGACCCTCAGTCCTTTCGAAATAGGAAATACAGAGGGTCGGTTTTCATTGATTTTCCCGCTCGGGAAATTAGGCGACGTGTAAGGGAATGCTGACGGGAAATTCTCTGAGACAAAATTCTAAGCCACTTCCGACGACCTCCTTTGACTCATTTTATGAAAATTGAATTCCCACTGTGAGATTAGATGAAATTCTGTGGAATCACAAAGTGGTACATATTTCATGGAGAACAGTCGCAGTATAATGTTGCATAGGTCGTGTATTTTTCCCCGTAGTCCACTTGAAACTAACTCAATTAAACGCCTCCGGAACTCGTAGACGAAACTTGGTCCACCTATTATGTAAACTTTATCTTTCTTCCTCCCGACTCGGCTTACCGGCTGCCGTTTCCGGCATTTCTAATGTTGTTTAGCGAACTCGGTCTCCTTAATCGATGCACAGCTCCCAGTTCCGAAATATAATTACCGGAAGTTGGTTCTCAGTTTATGTAAGACGCGTAATAATAAATTTAACATCGGGACCTTAACTCGGCGCCGTGTATTGTGCTCTTAGCTTTTCGATTGCTTCCACGAATTCTCCTTTATGTCTCTCGCTCTGTATTTCGTTAATTAATTGACCAGCCCCGGGCTNACCCTCGTAGTTATAAACGAAAAATGGAAAGTGGAAGATTAATACTAGCAAATAATGAATAAAAACTAATAGAACATTTTCTGGTCGATAGTACAAATGCACTATTATACAATTTGTGCTTAAAAGTAAATAATTCCGCGAGTATTCAAAGAAAGGAAATAACATTGGACACAAAGTCTCGCAGTGGAGAAGATCGAGGTTTATTATCCAAGGAAGTGTTTACCTGAAGTCGGTGAGTGAAAAGTGGAAAACTTGCTGAGTATTAATATTCTCTAGGCGACAGAACTGAAACAGAATAATTCGTGACTTGGACCGAGGGGGGAAGTTAATTCCGAAGTCGTACACGATACTCTGACGAAGTTGCGAGTGATCAAAGTTCGACAGAACTCTGTCGTAAATGTGATTCCCCTTCGGGATTTAATGAAGGGTTCATTAATCTCAGTCGCACCTCTCGGCACGCTTTATCCAACGGTAATACCACAACTTTTGACATAGTTATTACAACGTTGACATTTCATTGAACATATTATTATAACAATGAAGCATTCAAATTCAACATCGTGTTTCATAAAATATTTCAATTAATCGTGTAATCCTGATGAAATTTCATTTATTATCCAGAGAAGTCAGATAGTATTCAGGATTTAATCGACTGGTTTAAATCGTGTCTCCTGTCGACGGGCATTGAAGTCTGATTAACCGCGTATGCTAATCGAAGAGATTCATCGATTCCGGTCCCCCGAGGCGCGATACGCGTTACCGGTTCGTTTCCTTGACTGGCGATCAGTCGATTGTTTGGGGACAATATGCGGCGACCGTTCATTTACCTGCAGGGAGTCCTAACAATTACGCTTGCACCCGCTCGACCTACTTGTCACGAGCCACTTGTAGCGATCCTCTGGGCGATTAAGGAGTTCTGCTTGAGCAGCTGGAAAAGTTAGCTCGGTCCGATCAGCGTAGCTGCCGTATCGAGCAAGACGAGTCTCGCACGTTCATCGAATTTTCCAAGTTTACGTTTGTTCGATCTTAACACTAGATTGCCCAAGGAAGTAATTTTGACTGGTTTTGGGCAAATGTACAAATAATAATG